CCCCCTACCCGCACCCCCTCCAGCCGGAAGCGGACCGCCGGGCTGGGTTGCGCTGCGTGTCCCGCAAGGCCACCTCTCTCACTCTCTGTCCCTCCTCGGTCTCTTCTCGCTCGCTCTCCGCTCCGCTTTTGTGAAGCGAGGAGCTGCGAAAGAGAGGGGCAAACAATCCTATTCACGGCGCTCACCTGCGGGCCGCACGCACCCGCACCCCTCCGGCCACACACGGCTCGTCCTTGAGGGCCCCGCAGACAGACCCATCATCCCCGTCCCTCACCCAAGACTCCTCCCCCCCCCTCACCCCACCCAGTCTAGCGACCGACGAGGCGACGGAAAGATTTCCCCCGAGCTGCCCGAGCGACGACGGCTCGCAGGGAAGAAAAACTGCTCCCCTCACAACACTCGCGCACTCGAGAGCTTCTCCTACTCGTTCTTTACTCACGTGAGAGGGCAGCGAGCACACTGTGTTTGTGTTGAAAAAAACGAGCGTTGAAAAAACTAAGGCGCGAGTTGTTGCTGAACTGTAGCACAAACAAAACGGCACGACAACGATTCTCCGTGTTCTTGCCCCTGCGTGCTCGCCACGCTCCGCCCCGCCCCCGCCGGCGTCGGTCCTTGGGGACCTCCTCGGGGACAGGACTGAGCGTTCAGCAGCTAAACGGCACCTCGGCGACCTTGAGAACCCCGGGCAGGAAAGTTGTTCGGAAGCAGGGGGAGCTACGGGGGAGCCGGGGGAGCGCAAGGGGGAGACGCGCCTCCGTGCTGCGCCGACTTGAGACAGATGCTGACGGCCTCTCAGGGCGTGGCGTGGCGGGGCTGTGGGGGCGTGTCAGGACCGCGCGGCTGGACGAGGGGCTTAACTTGTGACGTCCCAAACACAACACTGCGGAACACACGCGCCTCGCATTAGAGCGTGGAGCATGGGCGCTAGTCTGTGTGTGTGTGTGTGTGTGTGTGCGCGCTTGTAAGGGAGAGAGACAGAGACAGAGACGAGGAGAGAGACCAGGCAGCAGAGGCAACAGTACAGCAGGAGGAAGGGAGAGCGAGACAGACGACGGGCAGAAAGAACGAGAGCGGGCCTTGGAGTGAGCGTAAAACAGGAAAGCACGAACCAACGCTGCCCGAGTCGACGGCGGGTCATACACTGCTGGAAATGTTAGCCGAGGTCAGTTTGCTCGCCTCGCTGGCCTGGCCCTCGGGCGCTATGTCCAGCTGCTCGAGTCCAGAGAGCGAGCACTCGCGAAAGCCAGGCTGTGTTTGACTTGTCAAACTGGCGGCTAAGTGCAGGGGACTCTCTTTCCTCTCTGTCCTCCGCCGTTCTGTCCCTCTCTCTCCCCGTCAGCGCTGCCGCTTTCAGCGCACACGTTTGCCTGGCCGCCCTTTCACGCTGCAGACGGATGCCCCGTCTCTCTCTTGTCCTCCCACTTTCCCTTTTCTCCTCTCTCTCTCTCTCTCTCTCTCGCTCGCTCTCTCGCTCTCCGACGTCTTAATTAAGGTCAATCAATTACCCGGCGTGAAAGCGTCTTTTGTCAAGCCCCTGGAGGGGCTCCGCTCCGGCTCCGGGAGGCCTCCGGGCCACGAGGAGGCGGAGCAGGAGGAGGTCTTTGTGGAAGAGCCGACCCGGCCCGGCGACTTTTCAAACCAGATTGTGGCCCGCAGGAGACGGGGCGTGGTGGAGCGTGGCTGGGCGGGCGACCCAGAAAAGCACACAAATTGTTTCTCCTTTTTTTTATCCGGCCTCGAAAGAAAAGTGTTGTTTTAGCCGACGCCGTTTTCTGCACCCTTTACGGGGATAACAGGGCAGTCAAAAAGAAACGCATATTAATGCATTTGAAAAATAAAATGTTACAACTTTTTAAAAATATTTCCTGTAAGTGTTTTTTTGTTTTCTTTCTCGACGGGTAATGGTTCGTCGGTACGTGGGCGAATTAGAGCAATGGCAACCTGCTCGCACCCGATGGTCGGACGATTGGTGGGGCGTGGGCGGAGTGGCGTGCGCGAGGGGCTGCACCTCGTTGAAGCGCTGCAGGCTGCCTATCTAAACGGCGCTGCACTAACGCCTCCCCGGGGACGCATCCCGGCGGCGGCGAGGAGCAAGGAGCGGCGAGCAGGAGCCACGGCCGGGTGGAGCGCGCGATGGGGCGGGACGGGCAGGGGTGAAAAAACAGCAGAGTCGGCGCCGTGGGGAGGGACCCCCCTGCAGCAGCCACGGGCCGTCGGGCCTCCCCTGGCCAAACCCGCCACACCGGCTCAAGCACCGCAGCCCCCTCCCTCTTCCTAACCCCCTCTACCTCCTCCCGTCCTCCCCCGAGAGAGTCCCGTCCACCACAACGTCGCTCCCAAGTGTTTGCCCAGGACCCGTAATCGTCTCCATTTCAGCCTAGGATGACGTCTCGGCCGGCTGGTGCCGTCTCGCCCAGCAGCGGCTCTCCACGGACACCGTCAGGAAAATAGTTGCGTCCGACTTCGCTCTCTACGATAGGAAGACACCACACCACTTGTGAATCGCCTGGCTTTTCTTTCACTCACCTGATAGCCGAGGAGGCTGGACGCTCCGATGCGGTTGTTGCGGGTCCAGGACAGCGTGACGGCCGAGGCGGTGGCGTTGACGACGTGCGGCCGGCCCGGCGGCCCCGGGAACGAGCTGGGCTCGGGCGCGCGGTAGAAAGCGATGTTGGGGTTGGTGGGCGCCTCGACGCGCAGTGTCGCCCACCACGTGGCCTTGCCCGCGCGGGACGAGGCCACGCACGTGTACACGCCCGCGTCGTTGCGGTCCAGTTCTGTGGAGAGAGATTTAAACGGGAAACAAGTATTAGAACGTTGTCTTCGGTTCCATTTAAAAACCTTCCGGAATACAACATGAACGTGTGGTATTCCTCTCGCTTTGTGCTGTTTCTTTAGTCATTATAAAGAATTATATAGTTTGGTACCAAACATTTTGGGGACTTTAAATCTTTTGTAGCTTTTTCATTCAAAATGCAACTCAAACTATTTTTGGAAAAATTAGAAACTTACTGTCAAGTAAACGTCGAAAAATGTTATTGCATAAGCCAAAACTCGGACTTACACAAAACTGACATAATTTCTAGTATTGAACTAAATTTATCAAAAACTCTGAAAACTCAACAGCATGCATTGCATGCGTTATATAAAGCATGCATGGTATGCATGCTGTATTTAACGCATGCATTGAGATGCATGCTGTTTTTAACGCATGCATGGAGATGCATGCTGTATTTAATGCATGCATTGAGATG